CGGGTGGCTTTACTCTCTAATTCTATGACCCTGAACAAGCACGTTCCAAACAAAGCATGGAGTCAAAACTTCTGATATACATACCTGTTCCAAGTCGGATGCCTAGAATGCGTTAAAGCCACAGGTTCAACATGGCAGCCAGGTAAGCAGCATTTTCAGAAGGAGATTGTCAGTGGCAGTCCAATAAATGCATTAATGTATTTCTTTCAAAATCATAAAACATTTTAAAATACAATTATTGTAAGTGCCTGAATCTGCATTTGTATTGGCCTCCTATATAATTCCCTATACACTAGCACATAGAATAGGGATGGGAGAGTCAGCACTAGCAGCCAATCAGGTGTGCTACATTGTGCTGACAAGAAACTGCTTGATAGAAGGGGAGAGCAGAGTGTAGAACTCATGAGCCTGCTGCATTGTCCAGTCAAAGGCTATAAAAGGGAAGATGACCTAGCTCTATTGATTAAAGTTAATTGAGAAAAGTCAGCTCACCAACCTAGATGTGCTGTCTGACGGGGTATGGAAATCTAAGGAATGGATGGACCAAAATACAAATCCTTTCTCGTGTAAAACCGCTCTTATATGTGCATGAGGCTGTTTGACTGGATGGCAGGGGGATTAACACAGCGCACCAGGGTAAAACTAGAATGTATTTACAGCAGAGAAGATATGAAATACCTAAAAGAAGCTAATATTTGAGAGTTACTGCCAGTTCACATGAGCAATAACACTGCAGTGTTCTTGTGGTGAAGCTGATCAGTGTGGCTACTGTTGTGACACAGCGGAGGTCATACACTGTTCTTTTTCTCACCCATTAGTCACTGCGTGCTCCTGTCATCATGTTTGTGGCTAACAAATCCCTTGAACCCGCTAATTCTCCCCTCTGAACCAGACTGTGATATATTAGAGCTTGCAGCATCATCTGTAATCGGATAAAATCTTATTTATACGCATTGAATTGCCCTGTACTGTTGTGCGGAGTTCTTCAACGCTTCGCTGAGTCCATTTTGCATGTTTGCTGTTTTTATGACAGAATGAATTGCAAAGCATTACTGGTGGCAATACCAATTATATAGGAAGTCGTAAAAAAGTCTTACAAAAAAGAAACAGCATTGAGCATAGCCTACTGCTGATGAATTAACTGGCTTTTAAATAATACTGCGTTACCAAGCAACACAAAGGTGCTAGAATTATTGGGGGCTGCAGCTTCGTCCTCCTGAAAAAGCAAGTTACTTGCTTGTATGTGTTAACACTATAAAACACATTTTTGGAAGGACTAGACAGGAAAAAGGATGAGGTTTTTCGATCTGCTGCACAGTGGGTTCATGGGGGGTTTCAGGGTTCTGGTGAATTTATGGTGAAATTAGTTGAACTGAGTTTTAAAGGACCCATAATGCATTGCATGAACTTTCAGCTGTGGTCTGCAGGGGCTTTGTTATGTGCCAGCCGCCTCACTATAAAAGGTTGGGTTCCCAGCAGCCATTTGTCACTGTGTTAGGGTAGTTCAGGGAGAGATGACAGTCTGTGTAGGGAGAGTTAGTTGCTATATGGTGTTATACTGCGCTAAATGACTGTGGATTGCAGCGTGGTGGGCTACATGTTCTTGTGTACCCCCCCTTATCATGTTCACAGTTCAGAGACCCAGCAGTCCGTTTTAGGACTTTTTTGACTGCAAGAGGGCCCAGCAGCTAAACTGCAACTACGGTTTAGCTGCTGGGCCCCGCTTGCAGTGTTTGTGAAAAGTTCTGAGGGGGAGGTAAAATAGCAGCAAGGGAGAATTTCGTCCAGGGGCAGGGGGGAGCTTGCAGAGGGCTGGAGGGGACAGCTATCCTAATCCATCTGGGGACACTGCCCCAAAGGTACAGGCCATTGCTGTCACCTATGGTCAATCCACAGAGCTCTGCAGTGTGGGCTTTTTAATGTATCTGCTGCCAACAATACTGTTGTGATCTGTAGCCTCTGTCTGTAGAGTATCTGCCATGGTAAAAGTACCAGCCATTAGTGTACATGCATGAGGGAACACATTACTCTGCACCACAGAGTTGACCTGAGCAGCAACTTAATGAGAGAAGTTGGCAGCAAAAGTCTTGAACTTCTTCCCCTCATTCCTCACTTTCCACATCTCTCGCCCCCTCCAAAACATTCTCTTGCTGCAACCGCCACATCATCTGTGGCTGGTGATGGGGAAAAAAGTCTCACAAGCATTTTCAGAGGCTTAGGGTACGCATGTCAAGTGGCGGAAAGGGTCACTGGGGAGGGTCAAGCAAAGGCTTAAAGGAGAACTGTGAGGTTTGTGAAAATTCGAGCCGACGTGTGACAATGAAACTGTCACACGTCGGCTCAATAGATCGGGAAGTGAGCGAACACCTACCGCCGCTCGCTCACTTCTCGATCATGTCCCTGCAGAGAGCCGGGACTGTCACTCATGGCTCCCTACAGGGATTCCCCCCTCCCCTGTCCGATCCTCCAGCGCTCACTGGCGGAACGGACGGGGGAGGGGGCGGGTACAGCTGGCTCTGCTTCTAGATAGGCAGAGCCAGCTGTCACTCACGCAGCTGGGTGGATCTCGACAGTAATGTCGGGATCTGTCCCGGCTGCGGCGATCTCAGTATACCGCGAGCTGTAGCTCGCGGTATACTGAGCTTTGGGTCATGGGAGGACACTAGTTTGTGTCCTCCCGTGACCCTGGGGAGAACTATGGGGAAAAGCACTGACCCCATAGTTCTCCTTAAAAAATCTGCAGAAGTTTCCAGCAGTATCCTTCCCAAGGCAGGTGGTTCTTCTACAGCTGCTGAGGCAGAAGAAAAAAATGTCTCCAAATAACCACCATGCCCAGCATCTTAATGCTAGCTTTGGCAAAACTGTTGGAGTTGCAGCTTCACTTGTGGAATAACTCTCACAAATCTCACAATCCATACCGATAAACCTTTGTGTCACTGGCCAATTTGTACGAAGCTGATGGCTCTTTTTTAAGAGCTTTAGCTCTTTCTTTAGGAACTCATACCTGTTTAATCTGTTGTGGCTGCTACTTCCACCAGTCAATTCAGGCCTGTTACTGCTTGATAAAAAAAAAATCAGGTGGTGCAGCCAAAGCTACAATGTCCCCCATGGCAGTACCCAGCTCCCCATGCCTTTTTTGACAACTGTTTGCCTGTTAGCTCAAAAAATGTCCAGAATGTATTAATAGGATTGGGATACCATAGATTTTAATGATATTCGCCAAGCTTTGAATCAGATTAGCCAAACCCTTGGTGAACTGAACTCGAACAAATTCACCCATCATTAGACAGGAATAACAGCTTACATATTCACTGAGGACAAGTTTCCTTTAAATAAGTCTGAATTTTTAAAGAGTTTAAACTACACTGGTTAAACTACAATTTGTCCCTTCTTGTTGTGCTCACACTGCTTCTCATTATGCAGCCGTGGGACCTATGCCCCATTTATTATATCCAAATGGCAGACTTAATCTGACCTTAATCATGCGACTTCAATAAGTGATATAACTTCACTACTGCTGATATGCAGATTATCTTTGGGCAGTAGGGATGGGCTATCTTTATGCCAATATGCCTGCATTACATGCTATGCATTGATGTGTGTTAATATGTTTAAGAAGGATTTCGTTTTAGCTGACCTAAATGGCAAATGCAACATTCAGGACCTTTCCTAACACACTGCAACTCACTGGTGTGAATAGATTGTTAAAAATATTCAATATTCTTATAAACAATATTTCCTGCTCCTTATGTTGTGCATACTGTAAAACAATGCATCAGGTGTGATTCGTGAATCAACCCATAGCAGTAGGGTTAATTGTCTACTTACGAATTTTTTTAGTTATGAATACTTAAAAGCAATTATGGTAATTTGTAAAAGTTGTAAATGTAACCATCCACACATCAGGGCATCCAGCATACAAAAAGTCTGAAAGTGTAGACTGAGGTTGAAAATAATATAATAA